TAATAAATCATGTTAACTGTTAATCTGGGTGAATCTTAAAGTTTTCCACCAACAAGCAAAGTTGGTTCTGCATCAAACTAATTACTGGTCTGTCCTTCAAGTAGAAGTGAGCAGCAGTCTTCATGCTCGAGGTCTACAGAGATGATCTTACAGAAACCTGATCAGTAATACTGTTGATATTACTGCTGATTCAGTCGTATGTGGATCTTTTTTATCCGTGCACCAAAAGAATTAAAATTTTGTGTCATATGTCTTAGAGGACCAGGGATCTTTTAAAGTAAATATTTAGACTTTCGCATTATTTACAAAGCTTGCTGCCAAACGGGTCACTGTGTTTTTATTTTGGAATGTAAAGTGTGAATCTAAAGGGCTCATCCATAACATATCACTTATGACAAGCACTGCTCATACTACAGTCTCTTTCTGTCTTTCTCTGCAAAACACGTTAAATAATTAAAAACAAAACAAGTGTTCCAGCAGAAAAGATTTTTCGTTGCCATTAACTGGTTTGAAATCACCAGACTAATCGGTGCTGCTCTGTTCTCCACACAATTACGACTCTCAGACAATTAATCTGAAATTATTTTGAACATTTAAAGGTTTTAGTCATTTTCATTTTCAGAGAAGAGAATGTGTTATGTTGGGGTCTTCAATGCACAATAAATTTTATTTGGACAAAACAGAGCACCAAAGGTCACTACCTTGGTCTTCAGGACACTGGTGGAAACTTTTCTCAGGTTCCTTATTTATCCACCAAAAAACTCAATCAAACACAGAAATGACCAAAAGAGTTCAAAAGATGCTGTGAAATTCTGCCCTGTACTGGTCATATTTGAGCATACTCCTGACTAATTTAAGTAACTTAAATAAATGTAATTAAATGGGACATAACTGATCAAAGTTCCATGTAGAGCATTCTCATTCCCAATGCGTAACATAGGGCTGTTCGATATAACGATATATATCGGATGACGATATAAAAACGTCTATCGTTTAATTTCACGCTATCATTTGTTTCGTGGTGTCGCAAAATAAACTGTTTACAGCAATATTTTTTTATCGTTCTGATGTCACTGTAGTGGCTATATTCATTTATGTTTTTATGCGTTGTCGTTAGCAACAACGATGGTAACAGCATCGCGTGTCTGCTTGTTTATGTTCCACATAAACCTTTCACAATAAAGCTCAAGATCCTGTTGAGACTTTTCAAAATAAACTGAATCACGTGAAAGAGCAGATTATTTA